TTCCCAGCACAAGGCAGACAGCAAACAGCCTCATTGCTGTCCTTCAGCCTTTGTGGTTATGTCTGTGAAAAATGCTGATGATAACCCACACAGATCGTTGTTGATATCAATCTCACATCACTCTTTCGATATCTGATATGTATTTCCTTCACTGTGTTTGATCTACCCGGTGTCCGACACGTGAAGAAACCCACCGCCATGCTTAGCAGTCTATAAACCAAGCAGACACTTCCATCTATCCCACCTACAAGTGGAAATACCAGGGATAGAGTGTTGGAATGGGAATGGGCACTCCCTCTCTCTCCCTGGAGGAATGCATCCTGCTTAACCGATTCATTGATTCACCAGAGTTTCCGGCGAAGAGACAAGGCTTGGGGCAGCTCCTTATGCGTTGGGGTATCTGCTGGAATCTAACCAGCTAAAACCGCATTGATTGGCATTGAGAGCGAGGTCTGGCAAGCTTTCACCCTGCTTGTCCAGGTATGAATTTCCTACCATTGAGAGCTTTCGCTTGCAGGGAGAACAGTAGTTTTGAGATAGGATTCCCTGCCTCCTGTGACTGGTATGTCCTGTCCTGAGCTTCTCATGTGACTGTGTACTCACGAGCAATTCCTTGGAATACTGCGGACCCGCATCGTTCAGGAAGTGGGCGAGAGACCGCCCAAGAGGCCTGACACGATTCCCACAATCTATTGCCAGGCATTTGACAAACAACATATGCAGTAAAGTTACTCTAAAGTGTATCTTATGGATAAATCTTAAAGTCGAGATATGGCGCTGTTTCAAATGCAAGGATTATTATTATTATATTTCCGTTCCCAATACCACTAAATATACAGTTAACTTACTTCACAGTGTATCAAGTGAAAGGCGTTTAGACTTTTCAATGACGTGAAAAGACGCTGTAACAAATGCAAGGTTCATTATTATTATTACTGTTATTATTATTCATATTAATGTTGCTGTTAATGCTTTTATTATTACTATTTTCATTATAATTACTACATCTACTATTGATAACACTATCATTGTTATTAGCATTATTTTTGTTGATGTTGTTGTTATTAAGGCATCTTGGCGCCAAATCAGAACGTCGTGCTACTCCTTCACTTTCATGCTAGCAAATAATCAATAGAAAAGACAGGAAAAAGAGAAAGGAACGAACAACTGCACCTCTTAATCTGCACACGTCAAACCATATCACTCGGGAATGGGTTTCTTTTGGAACCCTATGCACGTTTTCATACCAGTTCAAAAGAGATAATCAAACGGCAGTCCCATTAAAGGGATAGTTTCATCGTGTTACCCAAGGTATACGCGAATAGAAAAATATTCCGAGTAACCATGGATTGATTGCAAATCACTTTTGGTTCTGAACCGTATGAATTCAATCGTGGATCTGTGGTGAAATCGAGCGGGAAGTAACGAAGTAAGCTTTGCAACTACATGTGGTAAGCGATATCGTTGAGCAACGGGCTTATCATAAGTATTGCAACACAGGAAAAATTACATTTGTGAAGCGCCTTACACCCAAGACGTGTCTGTATCTCACTGGTTAAAACATTCCACTCGCAAGCGAGAGACCTGGGTTCGCTTCACGGGCGGGAAGGCGAATCCTTGGGCAAGTTTCTTTACTCCACACACATGAACACACGACAGATAATAATCCATCATGGAAAAAAATAAGTCAACAAGACAAAAAATTATACTGGAGTAAAACAACCCACGCCCATTTGTGGGACACTACTGCGCGCATTTTCTTCACTTATTTCGCTCAGAAAAAAATCAGTCGCTACACTTGAGTGTTTATTCTGTGAAACGCTTTGAGACGTCTCGAAAACGTGAAAGGTCGGTCTGTCAAAACGAAATGGTTGTTATCATTCAGGTCTGGAGGACGTCCCAAAGCGCTGGACAGACAAGTATTTCTACTCGAGCTGGAGTTCTGGATCAAAGAGGGTGGAGGAGAGTAAGGGTATTAGTGTGCCTGAAGGCTCGTTCGAAGTGAAGGGATTTAAGACGCGCCTTGAAGTAGACAAGGGCGGGAGAGAGGCGAAGGGCATTGGGATGGAGATCTGTAGGTTAGTGGCAGAAAGTCTGAATACCCTGCCGCCGATGGTAGGACAGCTCGGGCGTGGGACATGGAGCAGACCGGAGCCTTCTGAGCGGAGGAAGCCGACAGATTTGAGCCTTGAAATTGAGGACGAGAATTTTTAATTCTGGGGGATAGGGAGCCAATCGAGCCGGGCAATGCTGGGTGTGAATGGGTCAAGCAGCTTTCTGGGGAAGAGGACAGGAGGTGCAGAACTCTGGAGATCTGCAGCTTTGTGATTGGAAGTGTTGGAAATATCGACTAGAAGGGAATTGGTGTGTCGAGCCTTGTCGAGCCTATTTCTACAGTTCCTCGCTTCGATTAAACTCATCAGTTTTAATCTCCTTCCCAAATTAAACGCAAAACAACTGATCATAATTGGCGTTTAAAAAATCTCACAAATGTATTATCGCATTGATATCAACTTGAGGGCGACTGCTTATTTGGGATGAAAACGATGAAATAGAAAAAGGGTCACACCAATTGTTTCTTGAGCAAACTAAGCCTTGTGTTATTCATGCTTAAGACACGGTTTGTACATTTCATCTGAAGCAGCACTAGTTTATGAGTGTACCAAAGTCAACCGTCACAGGAAGCACCTGTTATTGCTGCCAACGAAGTTAGTTACAGAAAGAAACTTGACAAGTTATGCAACTTGCAGTTCATGTTATGTGTGGCTTTAGTCCGCCATCTGCTGGTGGATTGCCTCTACAGCACGTCTTAACTGTCCAGGTCCGATCTGCTCCACCAGAAATTTATGTATTAGTCTCATTTCACTGCTCATTCCTCATAGTGTCTGAGCTTCACTGGAATTTTCGGCTCCAGTCAACTTCACAAACTCTTACTGTAACGATTCTCTGATTTTATTTGTTCCCACACTTTAATTTTATTCTTCGCTCTTTTCCTGTAGTCTTGAGTAATAAGTTTCTGAATATTGAGCAAGGATTGCACACTTACGCGGTAGAAAAAACACATGTATATTTATGGAGCTCCAGTCACATCAGGAGGATGCCCCAAGGCGCTGACTACACAATGTATAAAACACGAAATAATCTTCATATTTCTTCTTTGCATACATGAGTGTACTTTAATTACTGACGTGGACCAGCATGGACATTTGTTTAGTTAGTGCTTCGATTCCAGGCATTAATCGAATCTATTGTAACTGCTCAACCTGAAATGCTCTACCAGGTTCACCCATATGGTATCGTTTGCAAGGCGAATACTCTAACCCCGGAGCTACAGAACTCCAAACGGCAATTTTTGTAGGGTGGAAACGCTGATCTGTGCCTTAGCGCACAGTAATACCCAGCGGCATCGTATCTGCTGGCGTTTGGGAGCCAGTGGATCTGGGCTCGTATGGAGGCATAGACTCTTGATTCACCAAAAAAGAATTTACTTCACAGAATTATCCATGAAGCGCTTTGAGACGTCTCGAAGTCGTCATGCAGTGCTATAGAAAATGCAAGGATTATTGTCATTATTGTGAATGCATTCATTTGGTTGAAGTTGAACCATGCAGCCCAGCCATAAGCAATACATGTTTACTTTCTATCATGAAGGCTTGGGTGGCAACCTGCCTCTCTTGATATTACTTTCTCTTAGGTGTCAGAATGTTTTTCGTTCAGGATCCCATTCTGCACCATGATCTCACAGTCTGGACTGCAATTCTTATTCAGGCAGTTTGAGGGTTGTAGTATTAATTAGCTCCAGATAAAAGCCACCGCTCGCTTCAGGAATATCTGTGGGGAAATAAATTTATGAAGATTGCCTGTTGTGATTGCCCACAAAATAACTCCATCTGTTTTTGACAGCAGCTGGTTTCATCATTTTGGTTACACGTGCAACACGAAAGGCACTATATCAACGGCAAGAATTGTTATTATTATAGTTACTGTCAAGTCCTGTTTGGAATTGAGTGCAGAGTCAGGGAATGTCCATCTAAGATAGTTCTTCATATCCTAAATAAAAAGAAACCATGTCAGTTTTAATCTCCTTACCAAAGTAAACCAAAACAAATCACTTAACAAAACATGGCACATGTATTACGGCAGTGAGATCCAGTTAAGGGCTTCGGCTTAATTGGGAGAAAGTTAATAACATTAAAAATAATACAATTAAAGTGCTTCTTGAGCTACCCACTGCCATGCTTTGGACATATCTCTGTACATGACAGTTGAAGCAGCAAACGGTTTTGTGAGGGGACTATGGCAACAGTCAAAGGAAGCACCTGTTATTGCAGCCAAGTAAGACAGTTACAAAAAGAAACGTGGCAAGTTTTGTAAGTTGCAGCTTATGAAATATGCGTGTTTAGTGACTCATCTTCTTGTTAGACGTAGCTACGGCAGTTGTACAACTGGAACCATTTGAAAGCAAATTGATCTCATCCCCACTTTAATTTCCCGGTTGTGAATGGCGATATAAAAATGAAAGTTGTTGTTTTTCATGCTTTCCTACATACTGAAGCAGCACAGAAAGACATGCACGTGTATCGAGACTCACATGAAAGCGAGACGTTTAAAATTATTTCAGTGACTATATCTTGATTGTATTTAATAATAATAGTAATTGCATTCTTGCGGATGTTATAGCGCCTTACCACGTATTCGAGACGTTGCTATTCTTCGTAAAATACGCTGCAAATTAATCGATTCACACAGTGTGGGTGAAAAGCGGAAGCTAATTTCCGCACATCAGTGCACCAATGGATTGAGTGACAAATATATTATTATTATTTTGAAGGAAATATTACCACTGGAAAGAACCGACAATCGACTAAAAAGCGGTTTACTACTGACAGCTACCTAAACAGAGACGAGTGTGTGGAGTAAGGAAACTTGCTCAATGATTCGTTCCTCTGGCAATTTAACCCACGACTCTCGATTGCGAGGCGAGTGCTGTAACCTCTCAGCTACAGGAACCCACACCGCAGTTTTTGTAGGGCGCAATCGCTGATCTGTGCCTCTGTGGGGCTCAGTGCACAGTAGTACCCCGCGGAGTCTGCAACTCTCACTTGTAATACTTTCAATTGGACGGTTCTGCCCATTTCATCCACATTCGCTGAGAAACGTTCTTTTGCAAAGTCTGCATTTTGCTTGATCCTGTTGTTGGAGGATGTGCTGAGGATAAATTCTGGAGATTTGTTGGGAAAGTGACGGTACCAGAACAGATAGTTATTGGTGGTACTTGCAGCTGTATAATTACACTGCAGATAAATAAACTCCCCTTCATTCGCTGTCACAGTAGATTGCAGCTGTGTCACTGAATCTCCTCCACAATGTCCTGGGAACACACACACATCAGCGATCAACAGCAATAATAATATTTGTATTAGTACTTGGATTCGATATAGACGCAAGTCGCACAGTTTATCTCCATATCCCTTAATCCTTCTATCCTTTAGAAACCTATCAATCTCTGTCTTGAACCTGTACATGGACTGAGCATCCGCAGCCTTTTGTGGTAGAGAATTTCATAAAAGCCATAAATAAAACATAAACATTTGATAATATATGCAGGAAACAGACGGGTAGAGTTAGGTTATGGTTTACCTGATAGGGTAATGATCACTGCCACCACAGAGATGTACATCGTCATATGTATTTAGTGGCACAGAGCGTTGAGGGAAGGTTGATGGTGTTGTTGGAAAATGTTGGCTGGGAGGCTGTAAGATACCGTGTGGAGGAATGAACAGACAAGAACCAACAGAAGTTACTCTTTACTGTGAGTGAGCAGGTCTGAGGGTTATGCCCAAACCTTGTGTCTGTGTCATTATGCGTCATTTTCTCTGCTCTGCCATATCGCCCCTCATTGGTTCTCTCCAATCACTGATATATCTTTGTTCAATCGGCTGCCTGAAACCTGCAACAAATTACACCCATTTTTAAGTTTATCAAAAGCTCAAACATGAGATGAGGATATATATGCCATCTGTGGAGTTCTGTAGCTCACAGATTAAAGCCCTCGCCACACACCGAGAGATATCGGTTCGATTGTTGTTTAAATTTCCTTACTCCACCCTCAACACTGTTTACCGCCTAGTAGGCAGGAATCTGTTAGTTAGTCGATTGCTGATTTACTTTCTGGGTATAAATATCCTGTTTCCCCTTCAAAATGCACAGCCAATATAATTTAGAGTATATTCGGTGAAGCATATTGAGACATCTCAGAGGCGAAATTATTCGCTCTATTCAATGTCAAGGTTTATTGCAACATAGATAATCAAAAGAAGGCAGGACGGGGTATTCAGTGGAAGCCACTGAGTGTGTGCAGATGGCAAGACAATGACCTAATATGTGTTGGCTTCACATCCCCGGGGGCAGCTGTCAATTTGGTAACGAAGTGAAACGAGGCATTGAGAGGGTTCAAAGCGAAAGGGTAGGAGCCATGTTACGTCAGCAGTTTCTCAGCTTTCTTTTCCCCAATTAGTTGAGAGCTTTCTTCTTGCCACTCTTCGCTCAAGGCTTCTGGGTTACAACAGTTTGGGTACAAAACACAAGTTTCCTAGCATAATTCAATTCTAAAAGTTACTGTGTTGTAAGGTTTATTTCGCTGAATGATTCTTCACAGATTCACATTTATTTTTCTTAACCGGTGTCTGACCCATGTGGGGACACCCATAGCCATTCTTTTTTTAATATCCAAACCAACTTGTGTGTTATAATAATCGCCAATGCCTTTCATATCAAACCTGATCACTTTTTCGAGTAGTCTATACGAACTTCGCAGGAAACAGTGTATCGACAGTGTATTTTGTAGACAACAACTTGTAGCTACGTGCACACAGCAGTGTCGCGCAAACAGTCTTCGATCGAGTGATCAACTTTTATAATCGACTAAAAGCGATTATCCAAACTCCTATCAACCGGGTTCCCATTTCCGGCTCAGTAAAGCAATACAGATATAATAAACCTTGCATTTGATACAGTCCTTGGTCACGTCTTCGTGACATTATGCAGCATTTCGTAGGTTGTACTGTGTAGGGAATTGACTGTGTCTGTTATGGGATAAATACGGCAAATGCACACAGCAATGTTCCACATACTCTTGTGGAATGAAGTGAATTTCTCTTTTCTTTTTAAAGCAATTATTAATCCCGGAAAAGCGATCTGCCAGTCAACTAACAGCCATGTTGCTACACACTGCGCGGTAAACAGACGTGTGTGCAGTAACAAAAGTAGCACAACATTTTGCCCGAAAGGAAACCGAACCCAGGTCCTCACGCTTGCGAGGCTAGAGCTCAAAATATTGAGCTACAGTAAACCAAACAAGTTTTTGTACAGGTCCCTCTTAGACACACAGCACTGTGCCCTCCGCACAAAAGTAAATGGCGGTGTCTGATAGTCGCACATCTTCGATGGTTAGCGTGCAGTTTTTCTGTTTTCGATCAGCCAAAGCTCTTATCCTGTCCTTCATATTTACGTCACTTTTTCCCAAAACCAAGAACCGAAAGGAGCCGTTTCCATAATGTTTGTACCAGTGAAAGACAGGGTTGGTCACAGGTGGCGTTGCATTCCAAACAACCATTTCCATTTTCATTCACTGTCACGGCCTGAGGTGTCTGTGCGACATCGCTTGCGGCCAAGACACCAGGAAAGCAAGCAGAAATGGACATTATTGAAAAGGAATTCGGAAAATATCTGCCAAGACAATTTGTTAACATTTAGCAGGGAGAAAAAGCACTTGCTTGAAAACCATCATAATCTACTTACACGGCAGAAATATTATTAGATTCAAAGTAATATACTTTGCATTGTAATTCTGCTTCATTCTCAACAGCCGTGTCCATTCACGTCCATATCTTCTGTTGAAATGCAAAGATAAATTATCTAAACGTAGCGTCTGGTTGATAAACGTTTGTCGTTTGGATGAGTTGTCCCTTAGTTCCGCGTTATTATCTTGTCTCTATTCATCGCTGGAGGTGTATTGCGACTCCTCCTACCGTTTATGTACAGATTCACTTCGTCTCGCTGTGGCAAAGCAGAGTCGTATATGAAAGACATAGTGTTGAGACCGAGTTACAATGACGGAAATGATACTTTCGAATTGTTTCACAGAATATACTGTAAAATTGATTGACAGTGTAATTCTAGAGCGAAGCCAATTGGGAACGATTGTATCGCACAAAGAATCGTGGATTGAATAACCAATTTATTATTTTTTTTCAAAGAATTCTAAAAGCGATCCGCCAACCGACTATTGAACATGTTCGTCCTAATCTGAGTGCTACACAGTGGTGTGTGGAGCAAGGAAACCTGCCCAAAATTTCGCGCTGACGAGAATGGAAACGACATCTCCTGCTTGCGAGGTGTGGGCTCTATAAACGGAGATATTGGATTCAGGTGTCCTGAGCAAAGACTTCGATAAGTCGAATACTTGCAGGAACAGCAAATGAGAGAACTGATGGTGAAGGGAATGAGATAGATATGTCCTCAAGATTGTGCAGTGAACAAGTGTAGAATTTTTAGGATATAAGAAAGTGCTTCCCCGGGAACTGTGAAACCAGAAGTGTCAGAGAATCCTGATGCACCATTACATGGTGCGGACTGATCACCTACAATTTGTAATGAACTTTGATTCCAATACTGCAGCTTTCGAGAACATCTTTTGTTCAGAATGGGAAGTATGAACCAAGGAACGGGACTAGGTTGGCAACTTCCTGAAAACCATTCGAAGTGAGTCCTGGAATATGGCTTATTGAACCATTTCCATCTGCTTTCCAGCCAGTGATGTCTGGTCAAAATAATAGCGCACCAACGCATCCAGTAGTCAGAAACAGCAATACCTTGTTTAAGCTGGTCCCAAAGTAATAATATTTATCCCAATGTTAATGTTTTCATTTGATACAAAGTCTTATCATGCCAATGGGACGACTCTAAGCGCTTCGCAGGCCATGTTGCACAGTGTAGTGACTGTAGTTTTGGGGTGCATAATGTGGTAGTCTGTTGCACACAAACATTGTTGTTTGTATTATGTTTCAATGCATTATTAATCGAGGAAAGGCGATCAGCCAATCGACTAACAACCGTGTTCCAACTTCTGCTAGGTATACAGAGGCATGTGTGTGGAGCAAAGAAACGTACGCAACGTTTACTTCCGACCAAGAATCGGACCACGGTCTTCTCGCTTGCGAAGTGAATATCTAACTAACACACTAATGGATCTCGATATATTCCACTAATTTATTTCAATGATCACGTTTTAAGCGTTGGTGGCTTTATACAAATCATGAATTTCAAATCAAGCAATATTTCGCCATGTGCTTCGAAGCGGCTTGACAGGTTTTCCCTATATTTAAGCAGATATAAATGTTGTTTTATTTATGCGTTAATGCAACGTCGACCCCTCGCGTATAACAGCATATTAACCTGTTCAAGTTTTTGTACGGAGCGGCCATAGCACCGCGGCAGTGTGGGCTCCTTGGCGCAGTAATACACGGCACTGTCCCTGATCAGGACGGTGACAATACTCAGTTTGAAATCTTCATTACTTTTATCGACTTTGGAGGAAAATCGATCGGGGAAGTCAGGGCTCTTATTATCTTTCCCTGCAACAGACTGAAGTATGAAGACAGGAGCGTTCCTGGAAACTTGTCTGTACCAATAGAGATAGGAGGTATCACTGATTTTCTGCAAGGTGCAGGATAATTTCACATCTTTTCCCTCTTCAACTCTTATTTCAGCAATCGGTTGATTCCCAGTACCTTGCAGGCTGTTTCCTGTGATTTAAATGAACATATTGTTGAGCAGCAAGTTTGTCTAATGTGGAGACTGTAACGTATTGGTGAGAGCATTCGCCTCAGAAGCAAGAGTTATCTGGCTTTTGAATCAGGGCACAGCGAAACTTCAGACAATTTTCTTGCTCCATACACCTCTGTTTAATAAGCAGTAAACAGGAACAAGGTTGTTTGTTGAATGGCATCTCTCTTTTCCAGGGGTAATTAGCACTTAAATAATAAATCCATAATAAAATAGATAATAATTTGGACACTCATTGAATGACTGTTTGATCAAAAGTGCTGCAGACAATCGTCTCGAATATATGGAAAAGCACAATATATAATCAAACGATTATTAATACTATAATGTTGTAAAAGGTAAAACAAGATATTAAAAAAAGATCTACAAAAGACACTAACGGCAAAGTAAGCTGAGAGTGATTGAGAGCACAGCACATGTCTCCCACATGAGCATCCTGATCCCGTGTCTGACATTAACTCCCCAATGTGGATTGATGGGGCTTTTTGGCTCAGCAGCCACACAGTCATAGCCCCGCCCACACAGAGCCCCGCCCACACTACCACTGCCACGCCCACAGAGCTGCGTCACTCAGTCACTGCCCCGCCCGCACTGAAACGCGTCGCCCAATCACTTCCGTTGCATTAGAACGCTCCGCCCCCTCCACTCCCCTCACAGAAACACACACAGTGCCACACAATCAGGTCACTCAATCCACAATATTTTGTGGGCCGCTGTTTTATACAGTTGGCTACCACGTTTGGCCCACACAAGACAATCTAACGCCCCACACCTAACCTAACCCTAAACTCCCCCTTCCACCCCACCTTCCACACTCTCCCAATCCCACAGCGCCGAAAAATCTGGCAACTCAAACCACAGCTTTTTGTGGGACACTGCTGTACACAACTGGCATCAA